AAATAACTGCGGATGGGATCATTTATTTTTATTTTCATTTATGAGTATGAAAAAAAGAAGGGGGGGAAAAAAAGAACATTTCTATCTTATCTGCTTTTTCTTTTTCTTTTTTTTTAATGTAAAAATTTTATATTATTGTTTTTATATTATTTGTGGAAACATATACGTATATAACTATTATGCATATATATAGTAGAGTATAACTTGTATTTTGCAGCAATTTTATTTGCAATAATCACTAATGCAAAATTGCAAAAAAAAACAAATATCACATAATATAAATTATATAATAAATAATAATATATTATTATTTAAGTTTATGCAAGGAATAAATTCTTGCGAGAGAATGTACATCCTATCCTTATATATCGAAGTTATAGTGAATCTCGTTACGAAGGATTTTAAATATCTAATACTATCGCATAATCCTATCAATATCAGACTATTTCTTTTGATCTCAAGTACATATAATAATATATTATATATTACATATATTTGTGGAAATAAAATTTTCTAACGTTCAGCAAGAGATTAGTTATGAAATGAAAACCATTTATTTTAGATTTGAAACAACCAGTATATATTACATCTATGTAATACATATATATATACTGTTAAATACATTTATGCATGTATATACATTCGATCTCATTATCCTTTGAAATCACAAATTACATGTCGCCGTAGGGCAACTATGTGTGTGTCCCCCTTTATTAATATCCGAAGTCTGACAAAGGTAACTTAATATTCGCTTATAAACGTAGTAAAGCACTACCACTTTAACAACAACACAAGGACTATGACGACGTATATCGATAAAGCATCTTCAATGTCTTGATTTCCGGTTAACAAAACAATCATTGAGAAATCAAGTAGTCAAAGAAGAACTGTGTTACCTTTATTTTAACACGTTCCGTATTAAATAAATAAAAAAAACAACATGTGTTCAGATCACACGTGTTATAAGTGAAACCTTCAAAAAAAATAATATTTTAATGTTACTTTTATTTTCTATACCACCCCCATCCCCATTCTCACATCCTCAAGAACCAACCATTCACCCAAAAATAACCCATCCCTCTTCCCTTTCTTTTATCACTCATACATATCCACTTCCTTCGAGCTAACTGACACAATTTAATTAAACTTTCTATCCCTTCGTACAGACAATTTCCGCTTTTTCCCCTGTTTCGTTCGTTATCCCAGATTTCAACTTCTCTAAAACAGAAAGAGAGAGATAGAAAGAGAGATGAAGGGAGAGGGAGAGAAAGAGGGATATCATTTCCTGATCATTATCATTATATCTGGACTACGTATTGAAGTAAATTCTCTTTCTGCAATCAGGAATATTGTTGCTCATGTTGCATCTGTTACCTTTCTTTCTTTGTATTTCAGTATTTTAACTTGAAGTAATTGAGATTATAGTTCTATGGGATTTTCAAGAGATAACTACTTTAGAATGGAAGTGATTTTTTTTTGTTCTATTTATTTATTCCCTTATTTCTATTTCTATTTTTATTTCATATAAAATACTAAATATTATTCTAAAAATATGCATAAATTAATTACAATATTAGAGTTCAATATTTATCATTATTTATAAAAAAATATTTGATTTGCAAACATTTGTTAAAGTGTTTTATTATTTACTTTCTGTGTAATTACTATAAAAATGCGCGCCTATGTGAATGCAACCCTCCAGACACACTTTGAAAATGTTGCTTGCGAGCGTCATCTGTTGGGACGGAATTTTTGTTCTGCCCGAAAGATAGGCAACCCGTCATACATACGTGTATAAACAGTTTTGAGTGCAAAAAAATTCCGTCCCAGTAGATGGCGCTTGCAAGCAACATTTTCAAAGTGTGTCTGGAGGGTTGCATACCTACAGGCGTGCATATTTTTATAATTAAATTAATAATTAAACAAATAATTACAAATTAAAAGTACAAATAATAGTATATTATAAATCAACCTCGAAACTTGTTTATTTGAAGGTTTCACTTTCAACTTGTGTGATATGCACACATGTTTTTTTTTTTTATTTATTTCAAACAAATTCAACATTAAAAATTCAAATTTATTATTTTGCTGAAATAATTGAGATTATAATTTAATGGTTTATTTTTGTTTTTATTTCTTTTTTATTTTTACATTATTATTATTATTAAGATATAAAAAATAGTATAAATGTGTTTACATCTCATAGGATAAAATTAAAGTTGATAATAGGTTTGGATTTTGTAAGATTTTCAAAAGGTTTTGTGACTATCGAAAAAAGAAATAGAAATATAACAAAGAAAAATTACATTTTAAATAAATATATATAGAAATATATATTTATATAATATATATGCATACAATAATAAAGAAACAAAATTGAACATAAGTTTTGATTCCATGTTGTTACCTGATCAATTAAAAAAGACCACGATCAAGATTGTTATTTAACAAAAATCTTATTACATATTAAACGCTTGCAATATTTATCCGATACTCGTAAGAATTAAACTTCAAAACCGATATAATAAAACAGTTTGAAGAAAGTTATTTATGAAATGATTTCAATCCCCATCTTCTTCTTCTTGTTCGTCATAAATACAATATCGATTTTATAAAATTCACGAGTATAATTAACTTTATATTAATAAATATTAGCTTAGGTGGTGTATATGTATATGTTGATTAAAAACAAGACGAATAGTTTTTGGAAAAGATATTTTTATTAACAAACGAACAATACGATGGATTCTTTAAATAACTATGATGAAAAAACAAATTGATCGATTGTCTATCATCGTCAATAATAATTAAAAAAAATATTTGTTTAAAGCACCGAGTCAAAATATGGCCACGGTGCAAATCCTTCCGTCACGCATTAATTGCATCTTCCAATTGGTCCAATCGACGAGACGACGATAATTTTCTCGAAGTAATAATATTATTATTATTATTTTGATTATTATTATAATTACCAGCCAATAATCGTTGAATCTCACGGAACGTTCTACCTTTGGTTTCCGGTAATAGAAAAGTTACCATTAAGAATGCCAATAAACAGGATGCAGAAAAGAAATAATAAACTGCATAAGCACCTAATATGTCACCTATCACTTGATACAATTTCGATACGGCAAAACCAAGTACACCGTCGAACACCGTAACAATTGCACCGGCTACACCTTTAACTTCGGTTGGAAAAAGTTCACCGATCAGTGCGTTGGGTAACGTACCCAATCCTATTTGAAATGCAACTTGAAATAATATAACAACAGCGACTGGAAGAAAATTGGCGGAAGATACGTCAACTTTTCTAGCATCCAACATCAAATAAATGGCAAGAATGGCCAATGTAATGGACGATCCTATCGTCGAGAATATAAGTAATGGTCTTCTTCCTGCACCTTCAACAGTTGCAGTAGAACAAGCACCTGACACTAAACCAACGGCTAATACGAGTATCGTAGCAATGTTAGAATCAATGCCTACAGATGAACGTTTGAACAATACTTCTAAATATTGTATCGTACTGAAATTACCACTTAATTGTTGTGCAGCTATTAAACCGAGTATTATGCAAAGTGCACGACTATTGGTTGGTAATAACATTAATTTGAGTTTATTCATGACAATCTTCAGACCATGTTCTTCGTTAATTCTGTTGTTGTTGTTGTTATTGTTGTTGTTAACACTGATTGAGGAGGAATTAGAAATAGATGAAGAAGTAGTTGGTGCACCGATAACTTCGTTATTATCTAATGCCAGTTTGTTGTTATCCTTGGAGTCCTCGTTGGAACCAGCTTGCAATGCTAATTCCAATTCTCTTCTAGCTTCATCCTGATCTCGTATACCTTTGAAGAATGCCAATGATCTTGAGGCTTCGGTTTTGCGACCACGTGCCGCTAAGAAATGTGGACTCTCCGGGAACCAGATGAACGTGACGATGAATAGAATTGGTATGGTCAATAAAACGATTACCAATGAACGATATGAGATCCATGGTCCTATGCTACATGTTAACAATGATCCGGTGAAAACGTTGACTGCTATCAATGTACCCAATGCTCCTCTGATATTAACATCTGCCACTTCTGACACGTACATCGGATTGGTCGTGTACGATACACCAACACCAATTCCCAATATAACTCTTGCCACGTATAATGCTGATACCGATGTTGCAAAAAATACTATAGTCCAACCGGCTATGTAAAAACCGCTTGACAATAATAAACATCTTTTTCTGCCATATCTGTCGGCCAAGTATGCACCCAAAAATGGACCAATCATTGAACCGATAACTGTCAACGAAACTATCCACGATGATTCGTCTTCGGTTATTCTCATCGGTGCATCGCTATCCTTTGACATTAATTTTGATAGACTCGTTGTGGTCCAACCATAAACCGTTCCAACTGCTACCATCGATAGGGTTGCTGTAAAAGTTGTATCACGAATATTCTCGTTTATTAGTTTATTCTTAATATATAATGTTTTATATTATATTAATTATATATAATTATATTTATTATATTTTAATTATATTATCATTTTTATTATTACAAATAATTAAATATAATCGTTCATAGATTTATTCTTAAAATAATATTTTTTTTTTTTATTTCTTTTAGTTTATATTTGTACACTCTTGTTTACGTCATGTTTGTTTGTTTGTTTGTTTGTTTTTGTTTTTTTTTTCAGTATAAAAATATAATTACATATAATATTATACATTTTATATTTTAATTATTAATCTAATTATTATTATAAATAATGAAATATAATATAATTTATAAATAAACATTGAACACAAACCTGAGATAGAAGCTAGCCATTGTCTCCAACGTGTTCTTTGGGAAAAATTGGACTTTTCTATGATCGTATGTTGTGATGTTTCACTTTTTGGTGTTTCCTTGGGTAAATCGAGCTGAAAACAAAACAATAAATATTATTATTATTATTATTATTATTATTATTATATTATTATTATTGTTTTAATTATTCTAATTATAGAATCAGAATAAAAATATTCAATCAAAATGATCGATCATTCGGTGAACCAAATTGAGATCGAATGTCTACAAAAAAAAAAATAGTAATTCGAGATACATTGAACATATCGATGACGTATTTTCTAATCTAATATAACCAGCTGATAAAATGTTTCTTCTTTCTACCCTTCCCCACTTCTCTTTCTCTCTCTCTCTCTCTCTCTCTCTCTCTCTCTCTCTCTCTCTCTCTATTTCTTAGGTTTTCTTTTATTGGAATATAAACAAATACTTAATCGAACAAAACATAAAATAATAAATGAAGAAAATAATTGTAATAATAATACATATATTAAAATAGAACTCTAAATGAATAATTTATCAGAAATAAATTATTGTATCACTTTAATGTCATACAAATAATAATAAAACACATAATGAGGTATCAATTTTTTATAAAGACACACAGTTTTTTACAAGAACCTCTTAAGAAAATAATTTGTTTGAAAGTAAGAAAGACAAACCCTACACATTCTGTATTACGAGGAAAAAGAAATATTTTTATCCCATAAAAAAATAAGATAGAAGAGAATGGGATATTACAGGAATATTTTAAAGAATAAAATGTGAAATTCAGTGAGACGTTAAAGAAGCAGGGAGAGAGAATACGTGTGCTAGGACAAGATGAAGAAGAAAAAGAAAAAAAGGTAACTATAAAATATAAAAAAAAAAAAAAAAAGAAGCCCTATACCATAGTCCTATAAAAATATATGCTTTTACGTGATAAGACATTACAAAATAAAAAGAGAAAGTAAGAGAAAGAAAGAGACACCGCCATGTTTATTATCTTACATAGTTTAAAACATTAATCTTAAGGGAAGAAAAAAAATAATCGATGTTTGCCAAGTTGTCTTTCGTGAAAATTGGCATGAAACGAGTATTATAATAAAAGAAAAAAAAGAAAAAAAGAAAAAATAAGGAAAGGAAGATGATTTTTATGGAATAGTTTGGTTGAAGGTGAAGGTGAAGAGAGGGGATGAGGATGGGTGGTGGAAATAGATGAAGGGAAGGAAAGAGAAGGGATGGGATGGGAGAAATAGGGTTGTAAAATATAAAATTGAAGGATAACAGACTTTTCCACGTCACAAGTGATAAACTAGATCGCATTAAAGGTACTTTTTAAAGGTAACAGCAACGTAGAGACAGGAAGACAACATAGAAACACTACTGGCTGTTTTTTTTTCTGTCTATTTTTAGACAAGAGGGATGAACAAATTGATCGACGATAAATCAAAATCATTCTTCTTCCTTCTCTTCAAAGATCACTCTAAATTTACTTATTTGTCAATAACATTAGATAATAATTAATGTCAATAGATGAAATAAGATTTTTCACGTTTCCCAAATATTAAATATAACATTAATAATTATAATAATTTTGTAATAATAAGTAATGTAATATAAATAAATTAATAATAAAGGTTATAATAAAACGAGTGTTTCACGTTTCTCAAATATTTAATTTAATATTAATAATTGCAGTAATTTAAATAATAAATAATGTTAAACAAGATTTGCACGTTTCTCAAATATTAAAATAACATTAATAATTATAATAATTTTTTAATTAAAGTTATTATATAACGAGATTTTCACTATCCCCAAATATTTCATTTAAAATTAATAATTAAAGTTAACATAAAACGAGGGTTTTTTTCACCTTTCTCAAATATTACATCTAAAATTAATAATTATAGTAATTTTTAATAATGAGTAAGTTAATACAAATAAATGAATAATTAAAGTTATTATAAAACATTATAATTAAAGAAACATTAATAACTGTAGTAATATAATAAATAAATTAATTAATAAAATTGAAGTAATTAGAAAACATTACAATCAAAAGAAATACAAAAAGAGAAAGTTATAATAAATATATAATGAATGTAATAAATGTAATAAATGTAATAAATGTAATAATTATTTAAACAAATATAAAACACTACAAATAATGTGTTAAATTTTAAAAAGAAAAAAAATAATTATTTTTTCATATAAATAATGTCGTGTGTTATTAAACTGATCATTGTAATAAAACTGTGCGAAATAAAATGAGAAAAGAAAAAGAAATAGAAATTTTATTAATAGAAATAAAAAAAAATAAAAAAAAAAGTAAAAAAGGGGAAAGAGAAAAAAAAAGAAGGAGTGGTAAGCTTTAACCTATTTGCAATAAATCTATTTTTAAAAAGTAGCATCGATCGGTCGAAGCAACATCATCATCATCCGTTACACCGAGTATTATATCTCTTTAAAATATAAATCACATTTTAAATAATAAAAGATAAAATTAAAATGTAAAATATGGAAACATTAAATAATATCTTCTCTACTCTCTTTCTCTCTCTCTCTCTCTCTCTCTCTTTCTCTCTCGTTTTCTATTTCTTCAAATAGACGAATTCTATAATTAGGGTTGACCGTATTTCATTCGAAATTCTTGGTTGTAAGAGAATTTTCATAAATTCAAATATCATATTAACAACGCTTAGAATTATGAAATCAAAACAATAACAACAATTCAAATCGAAACGAAATTATTCAATGTTATTAGATAATTAAATAAATAAAAAAAATAAACAAAATCAAAACATAAATTATCAGAAAAGTATATAGAAAAAAAAGAAACAAAACAAATGACAGTTACGCAAGAAGCCATTTGTAATTTTTCAAATCAATCTCGCGTAAAATAAGATGGACGATCGATCGATCGATCGATAGATCAATTTATATTTCTTTTATTAAAAAAAAAAAAAAAAACAAATAGATTAAAAAAAAAAAAGAAAAAGAAATAGGAAGAAAAATCATTGTAAAATGCGCAAGCGCGAACATTATAAGCGCGTGCGCGTATTTTCGATTTTAACCTCGCGGCATCGTTGAGATTTCGAAAGGTAGTCTCGTGGTGTGTTGTTGTACACCCGCGCGCCAAACATAACCTCTCAAACAGAACAAAACGAACAAATAAAAAAAAGAAGAAGAAGAAAAAGAAAAATATAATATCCGAAAAATGGAATTTCCAAAAAAAAAAAATAATAAAACAACTTTCTCAAAGAACTAGACAACAACAACAAATAAACAAAACCAAAAAATTCGAAAATCAAATTACTTTTAAATTATATACCAAACACACACACGCATACAAACACCACGTGTATAAAATAATTCTTTAACCCATTGCATCCCTTTTTTCTCTCTCATCTAACTTGTCAACAACAAGTACAACACCCCCTTTCATCCACCTTCGATACGATCTATCTTTTTCTATGTGACACACAAGAGGGTTATTATTAATTATAGGAATGATTTTGAAAAAAAAAAAGAAAGGGACGTTGATTTTTAAATTAAAATGACACTTACCAAAGGATCAGTTGTGCCAGTCATCCTTCTCAAGGATAATCTCACACACACACTCTCTCTCTCTCTCTCTCTCTCTCTCTCTCTTTCTCTCTCTCTTTCTTTCTTTCTTTTTCTTTTTCACACTAACACTAAATCACGTTCCTGTTTCTTGTTCGTTGTGTGTTGAGGTTTTGACGTTGACGTTCGGGGATCGATCGAAACGAAAAGAGAAAGAGAAAAAGGAAAAAAAGAAACAAACAAAGAGAGAGAGAGAAAGAAAGAAGGAGAGAGAGAAAGAGAGAGAGAGCAAGAGAGAAAGAGAGTGAGAAAGAGAGAGAGAGAGAGTGTTTAACGTTGTGCACACGTGAAATCGTCTCGAACATCGACAACGTCCTGTGCTTCTTCGAAAGAAACTCTCACCTTCGTCCTCCTTCACCACCCCCCTTGTCTTTCTCCTCCTCCTCCTCCTCCTCCTCCTCTTTGAAACTCATACTACCTCCTTCTCCACCGACATTATTTCCTTCTCCTTCTATCTATCTATCTATGTTTCCCTCTTTTTCCATGTTTTCCTCCTCCTCCTCCTCCTCCTCCTCCTCCTCCCAACCAACGTCGCGTCATTTTAGCTTTTCACTCTCTCACGGCCAAAGCAAGCAAGCAAGCAAGCAAGCAAGCAAGCAAGCGTCTTCTCTTCGTGTTATATTTGCGCGCACGCGCTCAAAATGGAAACCACACGAGGAGAATTTCCTTCTTCTTCTTTTACTTCTTCTACCTCTCACTCATTCTCTCTCTCTCTCTCTCTCTCTTTCTCTCTCTCTCTCTCTCTTTCTCTTTTTCTCTCCCACTGTTGGTAGTCTAATCGATATTTATAATTGTACCCCACGGTGATTCCCGTTTTATTTCACTACTACGACTACTACTATTACTATTACTACTACTACTTGCTTGCTTGTTCTTACTTATTCTCTTCTAATTCATTCGTATCTTTTTGTTCTTATTTTTTTTTCGTTTTGGTCTTCTTTTATATACGTTTTATATTGTATGTATGTGTGTGTGTGTGTGTGTGTGTGTGTGTGTGTGTGTGTGTTTGTATAAATGAGTATATTATTTTATAGTATATTATCATGTTGAGCGCCACGTCAGTCATTGGTGACTGACACTAAACTTTACGTTTAGGCCATGTCAGTCACAGGTGATTGACACGTTCAACCAGTTTTTCAATACAAACCCTAATAGCACAAAATATTGAAAAATATTGAATACATGTGTAGAATTAATATTAAAAATTGAATCTTTTTTTTAATATTAAATATACGTGTATTCAATATTTTTCAATATTTTGTGCTATTAGGGATGTAACGCCTGTGGCCTGACGGAAATTTCCCTAAAAATTCGCGTGACGCTCAACATAGTGTGTTATATATAATATATTATAGTATAATATGTATATTTATTATAAAAAATATATATATATATTAATATATTATGAAATGATTATTATGCGAATAATGGAATGGAAATATTGATGTGAGTGTTCCGTTTTTTTAGAATAAAATAAAAGTTAATATTTTCATATGCATGCTGCCCTCAACTTTCGCACAAATTTTTCTGAAGCTTTTCCTAAAGATGAAAAATTGAACCCGGTGTTTGTCAAAACGGACAGAACTTTATGGTAAACATAATATATATATGAATAAGAAACAGATTTTTTGTATTTTTTATTCGTATGTATGCGTGCATGTTGTGTACTACATTAATATCATATTCATCGTCAAATGATAGTAAGAAAAATGAGATGGTAGGAATTTTTCATTCCATTTTATGAGATAATCACTGTTATGACTCCTCCATACGAATTTAGAACATTATCTTTATTGACAATGTATACAGATGTATTAAACCTAGATATTGATACAAGATATATATTATCTTGTATTTATCTTATATGTAATTGTAAGGAATATCAAAATTATTAAATTATTATTTAGGTTAAATATAATACTTATTTAAATTGAATATGTTATATTTGAATATTTTGTAATATAATAAATTTAATTTAATATTTAATAAATATTAAAATATTTTATATAATTATTAAATATCATTATATTATATTATTAAATATATATATTTAATATATATATTTAATTTAATCTTTTTATTTTGATATTATTTATTTAAATTTAATATATTATATTTGAATATTTTGTGTGTAATATTATTATATTTAATATTTATAAGATATTACATTTTAATTATTACTTAATAATAAATTTAATTTAATATGTAATAAATATTAAAATATTATATAATTATTAAATATCATTTATATTTAATTTAAATATATGTATATATTATATATATTTAACATAATAACTCTTACATATATTATTACTTACCATTAACTTATATATTATATATATATGTACAAGTATTATAAATAAATTACTCAATTATTTATTTAACGAGATTATAAATATCTATTCTAATTTAAAAAAAAAAAAAAAATTAAACTTTGTGTTCCTTACATTCATGACGATGATGATTGTTGGTAGAATTGGAATTGAATGTTTCAAAAAATATATATATACATATATATATATTTTTTTTTTGTTTATCTTCTTTTCACCAGAGACCAATTTATTCGTTTTAAACGATTAATAAAATACTTTATCTGTGCCTGCTGCCTGTTTGAACTTTTTTTTTTTTTATCTCATATCTTTATGTCGAACACACTGAAAACAGATAAACGAAATAACGTCGCACTTACTAAGTTCTAAGTTCGTATTAATCACTAACACACTCGCGATAATTTAACCAAAAAAAAAAATGTAGATAAAAAAAGTCCACTTATTAAAGTTACTTTTTATTTTTACGAGAGAAAGAAATGTAAATGAAAGATACTTTAAGTGAAGAACACAATTAGTTTGGAAAATAAGATTAAGATAACGAAAGTATACACAGTAAAAAGATTTTTTTCGAAATGTTTAGATTATAAAAATAAATAAAAAATAAAAAATCCGAAGATAAATGATATTTGATTTATGATAATAAACAAAACGCATTAAAAATAATATTACGAGATGAAATATATAAATTTATATAAATTATAATATTATACGAATCATTATATTTATTATAAATGATTTTATTTTAAATTATTATATAAATTTTATTATATTTTAAATTATTATATTATATATATATATAAAAATTGAACAAATGATTGAAAGTAAAAGAAATTTGTTGAAAGTATATTAGAGAAACAAAGAATTTACTGAATGCAAAAGGAAGCAAAAAAAAAAGAAAGAAAAATAATTAAACACCATATTGAATGTGAAATAATTAAAACACCATATCGAAATAAATTGATATAAAAATGTCTATGTACAGAAGACGCAAAATAGATACACTTGAAAACTGTTAAGATCCACGAATAGAAATGAAAGAGAAACGAGAAAACCGAGCACGTCTCAATAATATTAATCAATTGTAATCAACTTTTCTATCCAGTGTATAGTGTTTCTCAATCAACTATTTATTCACTCACTAACACTAGTTTACTTTAAATTGTTTTTAATCGAATTATCATTAATTACTAAGTTCTATACGTGATGTTTCTACAGTTAACTCGTCTTCTTCTTATTCTTCTTCTTCTTCTTCTTATACTTCTTGTTCAGTACTGAATGTAACATGAAAATGAAAGTCAAAAAAATAAGAAGAAAAAAAACAAACAAACAAAATGAAGTAGGAGGAGGAAGAAGAAGAAGAAGAAGAAGAAGAAGAAGAAGAAGAAGATTCGATAAAAGGTAACATTTTTACTTCTACACTTTTCTCACTTTTCTTATCAGAAAATCCTCCTCATTTTATCCCCCTAACCCCCTTCCCTCCTTCCCACTTGCTACCTCTTTCTACCACTCGTCCTCTTCCACTTCCTATTTCTTATCCTTCTACTTGTTCTCCCTCTTCTCTTCCTTCACCATTTATCTCTTCCTCTACCATATGTTTGTTTCTTTTTAAATATAAGAGAGAGAGAGAGAGAGAGAGAGAGAGAGAGAGAGATAGAGAGAGAAAAAGAGAACTATTACAACGTAATCTCTCGACGTTATTCTTTTTTATTTATTTTCATCGAAGTTAACGTTACGACCTCTTTCTATAAAAATTCACCATTTTATTTCTCGTACCTTTTTCTTATTTCTTAATTCTTCTTGAATTATTGAGGTATAATTGAGAAATCAAAAGAGGATTTTTAACGATGTCAAATGTTTAAAAGATAATTAGAAAGAATTATAAAAGAGAGAGAGAGAGAGAGAGAGAGAGACAGACAGAGAGTGAAAAGGGAGAAAGGATTTTGTGTTATCTTTAAAAAGAATGAAAAAGAAGGAATGAAATTTTATATCTTTAAAATTTAGTATCACATTATTGGTATCCAATGAATTTTGAAACTACTGAACCGATCTTAATGAAATATTTTGTTTATTTTGTGTGATTTTTGACAACTTAAAATATGGGATAATTTTTATGTATAGCATTTATATTATATTTATTTATTTATTTATTATATTATTATATTTATACTTATTTATAGAAACTAATTACCTTATAATGTTTTTTAATTATTTTTATATATTTACAGGAAGGTATACCTTATCTTAGAATTTCACCCATTGAACCATCAAACCTTTCCTATTTCTTTCATTTTCTTTCTTTTCCCTTATATCAAGTATTCTTATATGAATTAGCATGCATGTGAAAATATACTTGCAAATAGATTATACTCTTATGGTGATGGTTTTTTTGTATTCATTTTATTTTACAGAAAATAATTATCAAATCATTAACAAAGTCTTTTTTTTGTAACTTTTTATTATTAATTTATATACTATTTAATATTTATTTCATTATTTAATATCATCACTTGGTAAAATTATTTTTTATTTTTAATTTTATTGAGAGACTGTTGCCTAACAGACCCTGACAAGAAAGTGAGTCTTACGTCTTAATTGTCCTATTAGTGCTTAATGGAATATTTGAATGATGTCTGTGAAAAAAAAAGAAAAAGAAATACATAGAATAGTTTATACTTTATGTGTAATAAATTTCAAAGAAATATATATATATATATATGAGTATGCATTACACTTCATGTACTATTTCTGAACAATAGAAACAATAAGTGGGTGATTCGTCACAGATGCTGCATACGTAAACCGTATCTTGGTGTTTGTTACATTTTTGGCATAATTCCTTCTGGGATTTGTTCTTCTGGGATTCTCTTGATGGTGTCATTTTGATTAACAAATGTTCAAGTCCTATTTTTGGCTTATATGATACAAGTTCTGGACAATAACTCCATGTATTCAATAAACTATTAATTATTGATAAACGAAAATCGTATATGGACATATCACGTAATGAAAACATATTGTACAGATGACGTGCA